AATCCTAAATTTAAATTGACTAAATGCCCCAATCAAAAGACACAAACAGGGTAATTGGATAAAAAGCCAAAACCCATTGGTACGCTGCATCCAGACCCATCTCACATGCAAGGATACACAAAGACTCAAAACAAAGGGATGGAGGAAGATTTACCAACCAAATGGAGAGCAAAAAAATAAATAAATAAAAAGCAGGAGTTGCAATTCTCGCCTCTGATAAAATAGACTTTAAAGCAACAAAGATCAAAAGAGGCAAAGAAGGACATTACATAATGGTAAAAGGATCAATGCAACAAGAAGAGCTAACGATCCTAAATATATATGCATCCAATACAGGAGCCCCCAGATACATAAGGCAAGTTCTTAATGACTTATAAAGAGACTTAGACTCCCACACAACAATAATGGGAGACTTTAACATCACATTGTCAACATTAGACAGATCAACGAGACAGAAAATTAACAAGGATATCCAGGACTTGAACTCAGACCCGGAACAAGTAAACTTAATAAACATTTATAGAACTCTCCACCTCAAATCCACAAAACATACATTCTCATCAGTACCACATCACACCTACTCTAAAAGTGACTACATAATTGGAAGTAAATCACTCCTCAGTAATTGCATAGCATTTCACAGGTTTAAATGAAATATTGGTTGGTTTCTTGTTTGTTATTTTCCTCCCTTATTCCTTCCTGTCTCCATTGAAAAAAAAAAAAAAGAAAGAAAACCAACTCAAACTGGATTAAACTCTTAAATGTTAGACTCAAATCATAAAATCCCTAGACGAAAACATGGGAAAAGTTTTTTGACTTTGGTCTGGGCAATGATTTTTTTGGATATAACACCAAAAGTACACGAAACAAAAACAAAATAAACAGGTGGAATTACATCACACTAAAAAGCTTCTGCACAGCGAAGGAAACAATCAACAAAGTGAAAATTCAGCTTATGGAATGGGAGAAAATACTTGCAAATCATATATCTGACAAAGAGCTAATATCCAAAATATTTAAGAAACTCATACAATGCAATCACAAATAAATAAATATATAAATAAACAAATTTTAAAATGGGGAAAGGGTTTGAATAGACATTTCTCAAAAGAAGACACACAAATGGCCAATAGGCACATGAAAAAGGTGCTCAACATCATTAATCATCAGGGAAATGCAAATCAAAATCACAATGAGCTATCACCTCACACCTGTTAAGATGGCTATTATAAAAAGGAAGAAAGATAACAAATGTTGTGAAGGATACAAAGAAAAAGGAAACTCTTGTACACTGTTACCACCAGCAATGGGAATGGAAACTGATACAGAAATTATGGAAAATAATGTGGAGGGTCCTCAAAAAAATTAAAAATTGTATGACAACATGGCTGAACCCAGAGGACATTATGCTAAGTGAAATAAGCCAGACACAGACAAATACTTTACTATCTCATATATATAGAGAATCTAAAATAGTGAAACTCATAGAAATAGAGAGTAAAATAGTGGTTTCCAGGGGCTGGGGTGAAGGGAAAATGGGGACATGTTAGTCAAAGGGTATAAAGTTTCAGTTATGCAAGATGAGTAAGTTCTGAAGATCTAATGTACAATAATGTGACTGTAGTTAACAATATTATATTGTATACTTGAAATTTGCTAAAAGAGTAGATCTTAAGTGTCCTCACTACACACACACATACACACACACACACACACACACACACACACACACACAAAGAAAACAGTAGATATATGTGGTGATGAATGTTAATTAACTTAGCTGTGGTGGATATTTCACAATGTGTCTGTATATCAAATCACCAAATTGTATACCTTAAATATATGCAATCTTTGATTGTTAACTATTCCTCAATAAAGCTGGCAAAATAAAGAAAATAAAACTTTTAAAAAACACTCACAGCCAGTGCATTAGTGAAGGCCTTTGTCACCTCTCAATTGAACAAATGTCCAATTCCATTTCCCACCTCCAATCCAGTGAGCTAATGTAAACATCCAGGAGTTTAAATGACCTGAAAAAATATGGAAAGAGAGAGAGAAAAGATACTGAATTGACAGAGTTTAAACTTCTTATAATGGCTGGGAAAAAAATATCATAACAAGATTGTGTAATTAGGTAGAATGAAAGCTCAAGATAAAGACTAAGTTAAGTTGTAGAAAGATAAAGATACAGTTCATTTGCATGCCTGAAGCAATAGATTGAAGATTTCTTGCCTGCTACAAGACAAATAGCTGATCCAAATGATAACTGACATGTAATAATGATTTAAATATATGTACACTCAATAAAATATGTAGCCATTCAGACACACACAAAAAAAGCCAATCAGTTTTCTATATACCAGCATTGAACAAGAGGAATTTGTCATTTAAAAAAAACACATTATTATTAAAATTATCACTCACCAAAATGAAATACTTAGGTATAAATCCAACAAAATATATGTGTCCTACATAAAGAAAACTATAAAACTCTGATGAAAGAAATCAAAAAACTAAATAAATGGGGATATATTCTATATTTATGAACAGGAAGACTTAATATTGTCAAGATATTAATATTGTCAGTCCTTTCCAACTTGATCTAAAGAGTCAATACAATCCCAGTCAAAATCCTAGTATATTATTGTGTGGATATTGACAAACAGATTCTAAAGTTTATATGTGGAGTAGAGACGCAGCACTGCCAACTCAAAATGGAAAGAGAAGAATAAAGTCACATTGACACTACCAGACTTCAAAACTTACTCTAAGGCTACAGTAATCAAGATAGTGTGGCATTGCACACTAGATAAATAGATCAATGGAACAAAATAAAATAAAAAGCAAAGAACCAGACTCACATAAATAGAGTCATCTGATCTTTGACAAAGGAGCAAAGGCAAAACAATGGAACCGAGGTAGTCTTTTAAACAAATGGTGCTGGAACAACTAAAGATCTATATCCAAAAGGAAAAATAGAAGCTAGATATATGCACCTTATGCTCTTCACAAAAATTAACTCAAAATGAATCACAGACCTGAGTGTTAAATGCAAAACTATGAAACTCCTAGAACACAACATAGGAGAAACCTCGATGACCTTAGGTATGGCAATGACTTTTTAGATAAAACACAAAAGGCATAATCCATGAAAGAATAGATAAGCTGAACTTCATTAAAATTAAAAATTTTGTCTCTGTGAAAGGCAGTGTCAAGAGAATGAGAAGACAAGCCACAGACTGAGAGAAATATTTGTGAAAGACACATCTGATGAAGGACTGTGTACTAGACAAGGTTCTCCAGAGAAACAGAACCAATAGGGGATTGTATATATAAGTGGTTATTTTTCATTATTATTATTGAAATTGGCTCATGCAATTATGGAGGCTGAGGAATCCAGTTCCAGTCTGAAGGCCTGAGAGCCAGAGGAACCAATGATGTAACCACCAGTCTTAGTACAAGGGCCAGAAAACCGAGGTGCCACTGGCATAAGTCCCAGAGTCTGGAGCCCAAAGGCCCAAGAACCAGGATCTCCAATGTATAAAGGCAGAAGAAGCTGGATATCCCAACTCAAGAAGCAAGAGCAACTTCACCCTTTCTCTGCCTTTTTGTTCTATTTGAGTCCTCAACAGATTGCACAATGCTCACCTACATTGGTGAGGGCGGGTCTTCTTTGCTAGACTATTGATTCACATGCTAATCTCTTCCAGAAACACCCTCACAGACACACCCAGAATTAATGTTTTCCCAGCTATCTGGGTATCCCGTAGTAGAGTCAAGTTGACACATAAAACTAACCATCACATGGGTACAGCAAACCGCCATGGCACGTATATACTTGTGTAACAAACCTGCACGTTCTGCACACGTATCCCAGAACTTAAAGTATAATTTAAAAAGAAAACTAACCATCACAGACTATTATGCAAAATATACAAAAAAACTTTTAAAACTCAACAATAAGAAAATTAAAAACCCAATTAGAAAATGGGCAAAAGACTTGAAAAGACATCTCCTCAAAGAAGATATACATATGGCAAGTAAAGATTTGAAAAGATGTTCAAGATCATATGTCATTAAAACAATGACATATCACTACAAGCCTAGCAGAATGGCCCTAATCCAAAACACTCACAACTCTAAACGTTGGCAAGAATGTGGAGCCACAGGAGTTCTCATTCATTGCTGGCAGGAATGCAAAATGGTACAGGCGCTTCGGAAGGCAGTTTGGTAGTGTCTTACAAAATTAAACATACTCTTACCATGCAATCCAGCAATCACACTACTTGGTATTTACCCAAATGAACTGAAAACATATCCACATAAAACCCTGCACATGGGAATACTATAGGTATTTTCTATAGTATTATAGTAAATTACTATAATTTTACTATAAGTAAATTATAGTAGATTTACTTATAATTGTCAAAACTTGAAAACAGCCAAGATGTCCTTCAGCAGGTGAATGAGTAAATAAACTACGGTGCATCCAGATATTGGACTTTTATTCAGTACTGAAAACAAAGGAGCTATCAAGCCATGAAAAGATATGGAGGAAACGTAAATGCATGTTACTAAGTGAAAGAAGCCAATACAAAAAGCTTACATACTGTATGGTTCCAACTGTATGACATTCTTAGAAAGTTCAAACTATGGAGACAGTAAAAAAAAATCAGTGATTTCCAGGGGTTGTGAGAAGTGAGGGATGAATAGATTAAGCACAGAGAATTTTTAGGGCAGTGGAACTGCAGGCATACCTCATTTTGTTGCAGTTCACTTTATGTGATTTGCAGTATTGCATTTTTTACAAATTGAAGGTTTTTCTAACAACATGCTCACTTTGTGTCTCTGTGTCACATTTTGGGAATTCTTACAATATTTCAGACTTTTCCATTATTATTATATCTGCTTTGGTGATCTGTGATCAGTGACCTTTGTTATTACTGTTGTAATGATTTTTGGAGCAGCAAACCACCCCCATGTAAGACAGCAAACTTGCATCAAACTGGCGCTAGCGACACAGGAGTGGCTAACGCATCCTCTTGCCGTTCCCGGTGTTTGGGCCTTGCTTGTGATGGTGAGAAAAGAAAATGGCCTTGCTGTGCTACAACCTGGGCTGTGGTCAATGCTTTGATCCTGAGACCAATTCCAATGATGCTTACACATGCCACCCAGGTGTTCTAGTCTTTCACCACGCATTAAAGGGTTGGTCTTGCTGTAAGAGAACAACGGCTTTTTCTGATGTCTTTAGCATTGTTGTATGTACAAAAGGTAGACATAATAGTGAGAAGCCACCTGAGCCAGTCAAACCTAAAGTCAAGACTACTAAGAAGAAGAAACTATCTGAATTGAAACCCAAATTTCAGGAACACATTATTCAAGCCCCTAGGCCAGTAGAAGCAATGAAAAGGCCAAGCCCAGATGAAGCAATGACAAATTTGGAATTAAAAATATCTGCCTCCCTAAAACAAGCACTTGATAAACTTAAACTGTCATCAGGGAATGAAGAAGATAAGAAAGAAGAAGACAATGATGAAATTAAGATAGGGACCTCATGTAAGAATGGAGGGTATTCAAAGACATATCAGGGTCTAGAGATTCTAGAAGAAGTCTGTGTATATCATTCTGGAGTACCTATTTTCCATGAGGGGATGAAATACTGGAGATGTTGTAGAAGAAAAACTTCTAATTTGAATACATTCATAGCCCAAGAGGGCTGTACAACACGGAAACCCATGTGGACTAAAAAGGATGCTGGGGAAAAAGTTATTCCATGTAGACATGACTGGCATCAGACTGGAAGTGAAGTTATCATTTCAGTAGATGCTAAAAATTCACTTCCAGAACTTAGTTGAGTAGAAGCAAATAGCACTGTTAAATGTACACATTGTATTTGAGATTTTGGAGAGAAGGAATTTGATCAGAATGTGAAATTGTGGGGTGTGATTGATGTAAAGCAAAGTTATGTAACTATGACTGCAACAAAGATTGAGATCATTGTGAGAAAAGCTGAAACAATGCGGTGGGCAAGCCTTGAACTGCATGCAGTGAAAAAGCAGGAAAAACAAAAAGACTACACAACAGATTGACTGGGAGATGAGAAGAAGGCTATAACGTATTTCAGAATTCTTAATACTGTGTGAAGTGGCAGCTTGCTGCTGTCATCTTTTGTTGTTGTATTACTGAATATGGCATTTCAGGGTTAACATTAGGTTCTTAAAAGCCAAAGTCAATTTGTCTTTTTGTGTCTCTCATCTTTCTTTTGTGTTATGTAAGATTGATTATTCATTTCTTCTTTCTGGTAGGAACCATAGTTGTGTCCTGTACTTGAAGAGGCTGGAAAATAGCCCATAACTGTAATTATAGTATTTCTTTGTATTTCTCTGTTAAGCAGAGAAATATTAAGGAACATGTTTTTACATGTTTCTATTATTCCATAATTAGTAAAGCAAGATGAAATGTCAAATTTTAATCTGTTTTTTTCATGGATTTGTGTCCTTACAGTACTTGAAAATATTTAAGGAAGAGATGAAGCTCTGCAGGTTTTTCTATGTGGGCTGATTACTTTTTTAAGGAGGATTAATTCTGAGGTAGTGCAGTAAGTAGAGGGGAATATATGAACAGTTTAACAAATTAGAATTTGTTTACAATTACTTAAATTTTAAAATTACGTCAAAATGTACATTACTTGCCAAGCAGTATGATGTAAGAGTATAGGAAACTTAAATAAGAATACAGAGGTATCAATCTGGTTAAAATTCACCATTTATAACACTAAGCAATAATCCTAAAAACTTCTTTCCTGAATAGTTAAATGTGTTTGTCTGGTGTTATGACAAAACTGTTAACTAATTTAGAGACTAAACCCTCTTAAAACCTTTAATTAATTAAACTTGGAAAGAAATTATATATATCTTGCCTCCCTGATGGAAAACTATATAAAACTATAGACTTAAATTGTTTGTGGAAATACATTAGGATATCAGAAAACTAAATATATGGACTTGCTTTATGACTATTACATGTTAAATAAAATAGCTTAATTCTTTTGAGTTTTTTTAAGTAATTCATGAAGACCTTCACAATTTTAGTGATATAATGTTGATTATATATTGTACTTTACTTCTATTAAATATAGTCAACACAGAATTAGATTGGATAGGTTTTAAGGCAGTGCAGAGCTCAGGAAGAAAAATTATGAAATATTATGAAGGCCAGAATGGAAGAACTTAGAAAGTTTGGGAATAAATTAAACTTACATAGATTTAAAATGAAAATAAAAGGGGTTTATTTCCCAAGCCCTTTGAGTCTTTTCTTTTCCTTGGTATTTATGGGATTCTTACCAAGAAAAATTTGCAAAAGTACTATTTTCATTAATAAAGTGTATATATATATATATATATATATAATACTATATCATACTACTACCATTAGCAAATAACTTCAATGTAGTTAACATAACTGTTAAAAGGTTTATCTGTGTTACAAATAAAAACAAAAAAGATCTGGCAACCATACTTTCATGACGTTACACCACCATGACAAGAAACTCTGGGTGATAAAAGTTTAACCCACATAGAGTGCATAAGCATCTAATACCTTGAGATGTATTTAAAATTTTTCAAGTTATTGTTCATGATTTAGGAACCATTTAGAGACATGAAGTCTTTATGGGTTAGAGGAAAGGTTGATACTTAGTTTGATAAAAGGTAATGATTAATATACTTTTTTTAATACTTCCTTCCGAGGCTGTTTTCCCCTAAACAGTATCTTCATCTGTTATATGTGATTGAAATATTATTTAAAGCAGTGAGTTATTGTAACCTCAGATTAGTTGCATTGATCAAAACATTGATTTTTTACATATGTATACACACACACACATATATATATAGCTTTTGTATTTAGTCTGGTTACATTAGTGACCATGGTATTTCGTTTCTTATTTCTTAAGCAGCCTTGGAATTTGTTGTCCAGATCAAAATTTGAATGGTATTTATCTTAGACTCATACATAAAGGGATTCAGTTATTGTTAGGTAGTTATTAGCATATGTTTTACTATCAATTTGTCCAAAAAGTTAATAAAAAATACTTTATTGAAAAAAAGACAGCAAACTTAATTGATAAATATCATATGTTCTGACTGCTGGCCAGCCATTCCCCTGTCTCTCTCCTTCTCCTCAGGCCTCCCTATTCCCTTAGACACCACAATATTGAAATTAGGCCAGTTAATAACCTTACGATGGCCCCTGAGTGTTCAAGTGAAATGAAGAGTTGCATGTCTCTCACTTTAAATCGAAAGCTAGAAATGATTAAGCTTAGTGAAGAAGATATATCAAAAGCCAAGACAGGCTAAAAGTTAGGTCTTTTGCACCAAACAGTTGGCCAAGCTGTGAATGTAAAGAAAAAGTTCTTGAAGGACATTAGTCTACTGCAGTGAACACATGAATGACAAGAAAGCAAAACAGCCTCGTCTCTGAAATGGAGAACATTGGAGTGGTCTGGATAGATCAAGCCAACCACAACATTCCCTTAAGCAAAAGCTAATCCAGAACAAGGCCCTCAGCATGGAAGCAAGACCCTCTACCAGCAGAAAGATGATGACTTGCCAAAGGCTCAAATGATGGCTCGCAATAAAATATTTTTTAATTAAGGTACGTACATTGCTCTTTTAGACACAATGCTATTGCATGCCTAATTGACTACTATATAGTGTAAACATAACTTTATATGCACTAGAACACAAAAAAAATGCGTGTGACTCACTTTATTGCAGTATTCACATTATCGTGGTGGTCTGGAATGAAACCTGCAATATCTCTGAGGCAAGCCTGTACTCTGTACAACACTGCAATGGTAGATCCACGTCATACATTTGTCCAAACCCATAGAACATACAACACCAAAAGTGAACCCTAATGTAAACTATGGTTGGCCAGGCGCGGCGGCTCACGCCTATAATCCCAGCACTTTGGGAGGCCTAGGCGGGTGGATCACGAGGTCAGGAGATCAAGAGCATCCTGGCCAACATGGTGAAACCCTGTCTCTACTAAAAATACAAAAAAAAATTAGCCACCCGTGGTGGCAGGCACCTGTAATCCCAGCTACTCAGGAGGCTGAAGAGGAGAATCACTTTAACCCAGGAGGCGGAGGTTGCAGTGAGCCAAGATTGCACCACCGCACTACAGCCTGGGCAACAGAGCAAGACTCCGTCTCAAAAAACAACAACAACACCTATGGTTTTGGGGTGATAATGCGTCAGTATGGGCTCATCGATTGTAACAAATGTAGCACCTTGGTGAGGGATGTTGTTAGTGCGGGAGGCTATGTATGTGTGGAACCCGGGGTATATGGAAAATCCCTGTATTTTCCCACCCAATGTTGCTGTGAACCTGAAACTGCTCTTTAAAAAATAAAGTTTGTTAATTTTTTAAAGGTACAATGAAATATTCTGCAACCAGCAATGTAGTTCAAGCTTTATTCAGCTAGTTATAAAATCAGAAGAAAAAATAGAAAGAAACTAAGGCACAGAAGTGTTACAGGCAATAACAGCACAACCAGCACTCGAACCCTCGCAATCTGCCTCTGGAGTGTGTGCACTGTGCACTACGCCACCCTGCCTCTCAGTTGTTCATTACCATTATTACTATTATTTTGCAAATGGGAACATTAAGGCTCAGAGAGATCAGCCACTTGCCAAGGTCCCAGATTCAGTGAAAGATAGTATGAGATCCCAGGTTTTCGGAAGCACTGACTCCCAGTTCTTCCTCGACTCTCATCTTGCCTCCACACTCCCTCATTCTTCCTCCTCACAGATTCTGGGAAGGTCTGAATGTATTATCTTATCAAGGGGTGAATTTTGTTCCAAGTACAACATTTCAATACTCAGATCCTTCCGGAAGTAAAACCGTCACCTCTTCACTTTCAACCCAGTTTAATTGTCAAAATGAAAAGAGGATATTCACTAATGCAAGCTGTCAGCCAATACGTGGTGGACTCAGTCCGCTGCAGGACTCCAGCATTTTCAGCATGTTTGTCTTTGGCACCAAGGTGCACACATTCGTAAGGCACAGAGGGTGAGTAGAACATAGATCAAAATGAAACCCATGTAGAAATGTAGCTGGCAAATGGCTGATAGAAGGAGATTTTTAAAAAAGAAGAAGAAGAAGAAGAAGAAGAAAGAAAAGAAAAGATATCCACTGAGAGGCAATAGAAGAGATTTTTTAATTCTTTCAAAGCTTGCCCAGCTGAAAGGGGTCTGCTCTAGTATAATTCCCTGACCCACTTTTTTTCCTAATAGATAGATAGCCAAGACACCCAGATGTGAGGGATACTGTCTCTTTAGAAGGCTCTTATTTGATTAGACACTGCTTTCATTTCATAGCAATTTGTATTTCCAAGGGCATCTCCTTCTTTGCTTTATTTTACATCCCAACTTCTATTTCCTTCCACAAAACCCAAGGCTCTGTATCTTCCAGTTAATGCCACAGTGCACCAGAATGCACGATTATGTGCAGTCTAATTTCCTTTAGGTCATGTTCACATTCAGTTATTTTATGCATATTGAGAGTAACTCAATATGTATAATCTTTCCTTTGAATTTTTAAGCTGAGAGTTCAGTATGCTCTAAGATAAATTAGACATTATTCCTAAGGCTTAGTGTGCTCTAGCCAACTACTCTAAGGCCCTGGGATTTCAAACAAACGTCTTTTTCTCCTTTCAGAAAACTAAGCTGGGTCTCAAAGTATGTCCCTTGCTATTGTGATTTCTTATTATTTCCTTTCATCCCTAGAAGAAATCTCTCAGTTCAGCATGATCCAGTGCCTCAGTCACAATTGGCTGAGTAATGTTTGCTTAAATAACAGCCCTTCCCAGATGGCTGATGGTAGCTTCAGGTCAAAACATAATGAAACTAAACAGTGATCAGTGTTCAGAAATCACTGGAGTGTTGCTGGGTGTGTAAGCATAATACAATTCTATCAGATCTTCTGATTAATGGCAAATCTGAGAATGAGAAGTTGAAAGAGGCAAAATATTTTGTTTGCTTGCTTTGGGAGCCAGAGGAAACAGTGGCTGCTGGCTGCTAAGGGTTAAAGGGTCTCAGAAAAGTAAAAAGTGGTAGGGGGTGTGTGTGTGTGTGTGTGTGTGTGTGTGTGTGTGTGTGCATGAATAATTAGATGTCATCCACAACGATCATAGTAAATCTCCCATTTCCAAAAACCATTCCAGGGAAGAATGTCAAAGGTAATAGAACTTGCCACCAATTATCAAACCTATGGTATGTTTTATTGTCTGGGAGGTTATAAGCATCTTAAAGAACTTGGAAAGAAATTAAGCTTAAAGGTAAAATAGTACTTTCTTTTTAAATTTTATCCTGGTATATTTTTATCAAGGCATTCAAATTATAAAAGGTCAAAAGTTCATTTATAATCTATTTTCACTCCATATGAAAATATTTATATTATCCCATTAAATATATTTATACTTGGTATATACTAGGGCCAACTATAAGGAGCCCTACCAAAGAAAGAACACATTTATTCAGTTCTAAAATTAACATTTAAAGACGGGTAAACCATGCAATAATGATTCCCTATCTGTATATGTTGTTCTACATTTTTCAAGGCATTTTCAAGTGGATGATCTCCTTTAAGCTTCACAATAACTCTGTGGAGAAGGAAGGGAAGATACTATTTGCATCACTTTACAGTTGAGAAAAC